TTCTTGTCAGGTGCTTGGGGCGTTCTCCCTAGAGCCCTGTTTTGCCTGCCCTTCTGTTGCGCTGCGCGCGGGGCTTGTGTTTCCAGCCAAATGACAGAGAGGTGCCCCTGTGTGTTGCTGCCGGAGCGTTTATGTGGCGCCCCTTCTCTGCGCGGAGGGCCGTGTTACGTACAGTCGTGATGCGGGTCCGGGAGCCTGGATGAAGCTGTTGATGCTCTGATTGCTCTTTGCAGCTCAGCTGAACATCGGCAACGTTCTGCCCGTTGGCACCATGCCGGAAGGCACCATCGTCTGCTGCCTGGAGGAGAAGCCTGGTGACCGTGGGAAGCTGGCCCGTGCTTCTGGAAACTACGCCACTGTCATCTCCCATAACCCTGAAACGAAGAAAACCCGAGTGAAGCTGCCTTCTGGCTCCAAGAAGGTGATTTCTTCTGCAAACAGAGCTGTTGTCGGTAAGGGCTGACGGCTGCAGACTTGTCCCGTCGCTGAGCACCGCTGAGCACGTGCGGCTTGGCAAGCGGTCGAACAGACCAGGGTCCTGCCTGTAATACTGGTGTGAAAACGGCATTGTGCACAGCCTGGGTGCTGGTGCCTGACCTGTGTGTTACGGCTGCGTTATTCTTCCTTAACCGTCACTCGAATTTGGAGACGGCGTCACCTGCCGGGAAGACAGACGAGCAGACGCTCCCTGTCCTCAAGCTGTGAGGGGGTTGCTGAGCCAGTGAAGTCTGGGGGACGGGGTCTGCAGAAGCTGGCAGAGGTGGTTTCCTGCTGTTGAGGGGGCGGACTGAGCCCGGGGCGGGATGGTGCTGCTGGAGGGGGCGTCGGTTGGGTGGTGTTCCGGAAGGAATGCCAGTACCACTGTCAAGAAGCAGCGGTCTTGTCAGGTTCGTTGTAACCCTGACTGGCAGCTGGGATGGGCCCTGTATACTTGGTGGCCTCTGCATAGGAGACGCCAAACTTGGGTCGTCGGTGGTCTGTTGCTCGAGCAAAACCGATGGAATCGATGGTGCAGCGATGAGGTGTTGACCCTGAATGTTCTTGAAATTCCCCCGAGCTCTTTCAGTTCAGACTTCCTGTAGCTGAAGACCGCTGTTAACGTTGCCCAGGAGGCTTCAGCGGCAAAGCCAGCAGTGCTTCGCAGGGCGTTGGGCTCCGCCCCCCACACACGGACTGTGAGCTGGCAGCTGGA